GTTCTTTGGTTCTATGATTCTAAGTAAGGGACCTACCTTGTCGTCTTGATTACGGAAATAATATAGAGTTTTTCCAACTAGGGTGCACCAAACTCTTTTGGAATATCCATGTTTCACCTGAAATTACAGAACATTGGCAACAAGCACAGTCAGAGAAATACAGACTACATTTCACCATCTCTGAAATTTCAGGGTGTTGGGAATAAATGCCTTGGTTCAATTTCCTTTCTACATTGCTAGACAAATAATTAAAACTACATAACTCTATTAAGGGCATAAGAATTAAAGCATCAGATGCTTTTCTAAAGCCCAGTAAGGCCAGTGTGAGGTTTTCATTTGGCTTTGGATCAGGCCTAAATTAGTGGAAGCTAAGGAAATGGACAAATTAAAAGAGAAAATTTCCTTTAGTACAATATTCTTATTATCTTGAAATAATCTGTCCCAGTGAGTGAAATATAGAAATACAGGTAATAGAATATAAAATATGGAAAAAGAGCACACTCCAAGGAAGTAAGGTAGATCAATTAGCTGCCAAAATATATGCCGAACTAGGATACCACTTAAATGCAAATGGAGAACTCAACACAGGAACTAATGAACTAAAAAAAAAAACCACAACAAAAAGAAAAAACAAATAAAATCAAACCACCAGAAGAAAAATATTGCCCGAAGTATGTGAGTTGCTAGTCCTTCTGGATTATTCACATTGTAAAATACTGGGAAAGTAAATATCTGTATCTGTTTTGCTTGAGTTTAATTTATTGTAGGGCCATTTTCATCCAAATACACTTCTTAAGAAATATGGAATAAAATAGAATGGAGAAAGAAGAGTGCTCCTACCTTTGTAAGCAGTCCCTTCATGGTTGGCTTGATTTCAGGCTGTATGAAAAGTGGGCTGGCAGCCTGTACTTTCAGAACATTCTGTAGTACTTTGATCCATTCTTCTAAGATGTTGGGAGAATCTGCAGTCAGGTAGTATGTTCGTTTTTCTGTGGTCAGCTACGTAGTAACAGAAGAGTCTTGAGATTTAAGAACATTACACATAGGACTCTACAGTGTAAGAGTTGTAACAGATACTACCAAATGTAGTTTCACAAATTTGGGGAGTTTATTTTCTCCATAGTACTTTTCATTAACAAAACATTCTGTGGCCAGATAGAGCAGACAGACTTTTTCTAAGGCTTTATCTGAAATGTTCCAGGACAGCAGAGTTGAAAAAACTCAATTTATCTCCTTTCAGACAACCAACTTCTCTCAACCCTAAGACCCGGGCCCAAGACTACTACTCTCCTTATTTAAATCTCATCTGTGACGATCTGACCTTTGCAGCAATACAGACAGGACTACACGTACGTCTTTTTATAGTTTCTGTAAATTAAGTGATTCTTTGGTGTCCTGGTTTCAGTGGGACAGGATCCCAGCCCTGCCATGGCAGGCAGGCCCTCAGCAGTTTCAAGTCATTCAGGAGCTTGAGCTGGGAGGGGCAAAAGCCAGGGCAGCTGACCCAAGCTGGCTACAGGTGTGTCCCATCCCATAAACGTCACCCTCAGCATAAAAGGGGAAGCTTTGCTGACCACAGGGGTTGTTCATGCTCCTCAGTATCCCTGAAGAGGCTTCCTTATCGCTCTGCTCCAGAGGACTGCTTTCCTGTTTGTTGTGACTGCTGTACGTTTGCTGGGCTGAGTATAAGTTTGTGTACTTTATACTGACATTAGTATTAATTTTGCTGTTTCATTAGACCTGTTTTCATTTCAGTCTGTGGGTTTCCTCTCCTTTTCTGGATCCCCTTTCTCTGTTAAGGAGGGGTCACTGAGTGGTAGAAAAACTGCTACAGTTAAGCTCCAGACACAGGCTAAACATAGACATTTAGTTTCAAATGAAGGGCACTGATTAATTCCAAGTCCACACTTGGACTTCTGGTGCAGTAGGGACTGGATAAAGGGGTTGGTTTGGGGGATAAAAGGAATAAATACCCATGGAAACACAGGAGGGAAAAGGAGGTACCTGAATTGTTTGTTTTCCATCACCCCTTTCAATATGGCTGGATGCGTTTAACTCAATTTGACCTTGAGGTTTTCGAATGACATCACTCTGTATGGAAGGAATGGAAAATAAGTATTTAATCTTTCACTAAATAGCAATACATAATTAAAGAACTCATTTAAACATTAGTCTTGATAAAGACCTCCTAGTTATACATTGAGTACCTTGTATACCTCTTGAGAAACAGAGTCCTGAATCATTCTCTAATAGCTCAGACACCAGGAATGCATTTCTTTTTCTCCTAGCAGCCTTAGATTCTCAGTAAAAACAATTAATGTTAAATAGTAGATAAGTTACATGTACTTACTGGAGATTTGTAGTATAGTAATTCACCTCCTTTAAGCACAAACCACCGTCGCTTCCAGGTCTTTACTTTACCACCCATTTTTAACAGATATCCAGATTTTTCCAAAGGTTCCTGATTATTTAGAAGTTACATTAAAAGTAGTTAGGTACACATATATGCCTATACCCCTTAGAGATGTATATAGATACACACACACAGATACTTTAATGACTTAAAAGCATGCTCAATAATAATTACAGTATTTGATGAGACTTTGAGGCCAATGACAAAGATTTTACAAGCATCAGTTAAGACAAATTCCATGCAATTAATATCCCTACTTACAGTTATAGTACATGAAGGAGAGTAAGTGATTTGCCCAGAACTATACAAAAGAATGAAGAATATGATGATTTCTGGTCTTACTTTGTAATGGTTTATATTAAACAAGGAACAAAATTAATAAAATGTAAGTATGTATTTCCTTCCCTGCTTTAGGGCCTAACCTACAGACCAGATAGAGAGCACTGTAATTCAAAGCTCCACGCGGGCATACTTTTAGTGTGTGTACCTGTTTTGCTCAGTGTTTCATTGCATGCACAGTTTTGCTCTGTGAAGAAAGCTTAAAGTAAATTATCTTCATCACCAGGCAGCCAATGCATTTGTATGTTGAGACACTAACTGCTAACATAGGCCATTAAAAAAACTCCTGGAGATAGACCAATACCCTATAACGGTTTGGTTTCTTTGACCTGTCCTCGCATGTTGCTCTACTTAGGATCTCTCTGATGTGTGAAGTTTTCCTTGTATGAGTAAACTATAGGAATGTATTACTGCACGGGGGACCAGTTAGCTCAGTCAGTTGAGCGTGGTGCTGGCAACGCCAAGGTTGCGGGTGCGATTCCCGTTCGGTCCCCATGTGTTGCCTGATCTAGTCGAGAGGTGGCGACCCTGGCAACAGGGAGGCTGGATTAAAATGATCTCTAAGGTCCCTTCCAGCTTAGGCCATTCTATGATTCTGGTAGATTTCTACTGGTGGCTTCAACTCCTTCAGTGGAATGCCCTTCTATTTCCCTGAATATTCAAATAATAATTTTAGGCTGAATGTAGCATTTCATAGGCAATCTGATACAAGGTCTAGTTCCAAGAAAGAAAAATCTTAAGTGCTCTGAACTGTCTTCTGGAGTTGTCTACCTATTTTATTTTATTATATAGAAAGCTCAGAGTTATCCTGTGTTTTCCTTCAATCATTGTAGTTTTATATGGCTAACCTGTTGTTGGTAATTTTGCTATTGGTACTTATAAGGCAGTTTGTGAGTCAGCAAGACTAATTATAGAGATTCAGTAGCAGTCTTTAAACATAAATATACACACACCACCACAGGTGCATTTCTTCACAGAGCTTCAGTACTCACATTTTTTCCATTATCGCTAGATGAGGAAGAGGTCTTGGGAAGTTTCTGCTCTGGCTCTGAGTAGTCTGTATCTACTGAATATGCATCTGGAGGAATAGCATAGTCACTTTCTGAGGTCACAGAGGACAGGGACACACCTGTGTTAAAAGAAGAGGTTCCTTTATAATTTTTTATTATATTAGAAACAAATGAGATCAGAATAATTGTGTGGAGAGAATATCTGAGTACGATCTGCAGGCAAGTGCAAGTATCAGCATAAATCCATCAGGAATCGACCATTTTTAAAAAATATCAGCATATCAAACTGTTAGCATGGTGCTAATACCCAAATTCCATTTTCTTCATAATTAAACAGAGTTTAAGTCATGTGTGAATGAAACAACAGATAAATTCTTCTGTGTCTTATCAATTTCTATTATATTACTACAGCTTTTTTAAGGAGGCAGTTAGTGCCATGCATCATACTCATTCTCTAGAAAACAAATACAGGATCTTTCAATTGAGCAACTTGCCCCTTCCCCTTCTAACATGCACTCTAGTATCTGGATTTCTCATGCAGTTGCTTGTGTACTAAGAAGCTATGCTCAAGATCTGATACATGTTGAAGTTGTAGGTGATTGTCTACATTTTTCAATTAGTATAATTTCTTTTTTTATACTGAGGTTTTCTAAAAATCTGAATTCCAGTTTTCAGATTTTATTTTTTAGCTCCTTAGCTTTAACCCTGAAAAACATCCACCCTGTTTTCAAGTCTAGTGAATCAGCAATAAAAATTCAAACTCCTCCCTTATTCATCATAGAAATGATTATTTTTCAAACATGAACATGTTCTTCTGTAAGGACTGTGTTCCACTCAGAAAGGTTACTCTCCAAGATTGAAATGAAGATTCCCAATTTCCTTTGTTTCATTTATTTCCAAACTAATTTGCCAATTTTATTTAAAACCCAACAAACCAACTAAACTCTTCTCATCTATTGCTTTGGAAAGCCATCTGGGCTTTCAGAGTAGGTTCTCTTCTCACGCAGGATCTTTAATAACACATACGTAACTAGCTAATTGGGCATCTAGTGAAATTTATGACTGCTGAGATTTTTAAATGACGTGATCTTGATCAAGATAGGTACATATGTGATTTGTGGTTAAGAAAATTTCTGTGTACGAAACAGTACAACGTCTGTTTTATGAGAAGAAAGCATGAACAAAAGGAATGGTTCCATTTTATAGACATGGTTATAAATTATAGGTGAAACTAGCTATTAAATTGGCTAATTTACCTTTCCTGTCGTGTAAGCGTGTAACATGAGATGCGTTTGCAGGCACAGCACTGGTTTTTGCTCAGCAAGGTGCAGCTGCTGAGAAGTGGGAACTCTGGGTCCTTTTCACATTAATACTACATCATGGGAAGTGGGACTCAAAATCAAGCGTGGCTGGCACTGGAAAACTCCCATGACCAGTGGCTCTATCTTCCTGCTCAAGTTCACCATGAGGGTGGTGAGACACTGGCACAGGTTGCCTATAGGGGTGGTGGAAGCCCCATCCCTGGAAGTTTTTAAGGCCAGGCTGGATGGGGCTCTGAGCAACCTGATCTAGTGGGGGATGTCCCTGCCCATGGCAGGGGGTTTGGAACTAGATGATCTTTCAGGTCCCTTCCAACCCTGACAATTCTATGATTCTGTGACTCAGTGGAGCTCCTGCTAACTGGGATTTTAGCATGTGTAGCAGACCACTGAATAATGCTGTTGTGTATTTCTAAAGCAACATATAATGGAGGATCTTATGACTTGGCCTCACTGGGATCTTCTATTTTAGTCTATCATAGTTTACCCAGTGAAGAAATACTCACAGGGGCAGAACACCAATACTATCACCCCATGAGGAATCATTGTATCTTTCAATGTTATGAAGCATATTATTTTCATTCTGCAGATGGAAAGCATGTAATTACCTAGAGCTGCGACTTTTGTCTTCCACAAAAGACAAAACTTTATTGCATCCAAGTGCTTTACCTAAGTCTTTGCACAGGACCTTGAGACAATCACTGTAAAAATGAGATAAGTCCTTAATTGCATGAGAAGACAGAACTCAACAGAGGGAACTTTTCCGCTTGATTTCTGATCACATGAAACTATTCCTTTTATAAATTTGAATACATGTGGGGATTTTTCATAATGGCAATTACTTATTTCTATGTCATTTTTACCTACCTACAGTTAAAGGTCATAGGAAGTCCTTGGTATGACAGAGTATAGATAGGATAGAGCTTGTTGCTTTAAATGTACGAGTCACTCTTCCCTCGTGACAACAGCCAGCTACTAGATAAATGCCTTAAAAATACATCTATGGTAACAGCAATAAAAAGAAAGCCATATATAACAGTCCTCTCTCCTACTTCAATAATAGATCTAGGCTTTGATAGCTGAGACAAAAGCCTAAATTGAAGATGTCCATGCTGTTTAGGGAAGAAATCCATTTCTAAGACGACCATGTGAGGTGCTTAGTCTTCCAAACTTCCCAGAAGTTACTCATTCTTCCCATTTTTGCCTACCTCGTTTCATAGCCCGAGGACTACCAGGACCACTTCTGCTTCGAGAATCAGACTCAGAAGTCCTTGAGCTGGACCGAGAGCTGTCTTCCTCCTCAGATCCTGACGACTCATCTATAAATGGACTGTTGCTTATTTGAGTTGCTTTCTGCAGAAATTAGCACAACATTCTTTTATGCCTTGCATAAAGGGTATCAGTCATTTTCTTCATACTGTGGCAGAGCTCTGCTGGCTTCATAACATTTAAAGCTGTTCTTGCTTTGGTTCTGAGTTTTGGCACATGACTATTAACATAAAACCAAATTCCCTCTTCCTCTGCGTACTCAGCCACCCCCGCACTTTAAAACAGAAACTTGAGGTGGCTCAAGGCATGGGTCTTTCCAAATTACAAAGGGCTGCCAGGAAACAAACAACACTGAGAGTAGTTACTGCTGGCTATCTGACTATAAACAGTTTTGGCACCGACACAAAGACATTTCTACACATACATGCACTTTTAATTATGGCATTGAACACCATGTGGCTCAGTTTAATCATTAACAAGCCTTTGGACAAAACAGCAGGGAACCTAAGAAGAAGTGACCTGGACTAGTAACATTTTATAAGCAGCAGTCTTTTTTTCCCCCCCTCTATTTTCCAGCTATTTGACATTTCCATTACTTCTGGGGTTCTGTGGTCTCTAAATATTATCTTATGGCATATTTGGCATGGTAGCATGAAATGTGAAACAGACATTTCCTGGATGTGAATTCTAATGGTATTTAATTTTCTTCTTTAAACAATAGTACAGTTACCCCTTTCAAAGTGGTGTAGACAGGAGTAGTCATGTTCTTATATATCAGAGATGTATATAATCCGGATATGGAGTATGAAGTTAGCGAAACAGCACCTAAAAAAGCAAAGTATTTTATAAATGATGTTCCTAATTTACCTCTCACATAACCAAATTCAAATGTAATTTTTTTTGCGCTGTATAACAGGTATACAATACAAACTAACTCTTGAACTGTTCTGGATGTGAGACTTACAGCTTTTTGAAGTTTACAGTGCTTTTAGAGAGTATAAACAAATTGTAGTCTTGACCGATAACCCTTTTTAAATTGCAGGTATAATCTCGTACTGTGGTACCTGGTACAGAATATTCATGATGAACTGCAAAGAAAACTGGAGTAAACAAATTACAAATTCAGCACAAAGCCCAAAGGCAAGGGAACAGAAGATAATGGAAAGATAACCACTTATGATCTAGGTTTTAAATAGCAGATAACTGAATCTTCATAAAAATATCTTACAGAAACATGGGACGTTTGGTCCTTGCTTACAAATCACCGTAAGGTATTTTTTGTTGATGAGACAATGAACAGCTAAACCACTTACTTTTGTTAAGAGATTCCATGGTGAAAGCTTCAGACATCCTTAAACCAGATTTGGCTACAGCATAAATTCTGCTTTCCTATACAAGCAGAATGGATTTGATAGTAGATAATTAAAACACAACAATTACTTCTGCTTAGCCTCCCCATAGCCTCCTAGTCTTTGTGTTAGTGCAGCAATGTGATAAAATGGCCTCAGCAGCAGCAGTTGAAAAATACATCCTTAGTTTATATGCCATACCCATCATAACCACTCCATGGTCTGTTTCAACATTTTTTCACACAGTGTTTGCCCTGTGGCCAACTTATTTTTAAAAATACTATTATCAGGGGTCAAAGAAGCTATGGCAAGAATATTGTATGTTAAGAACAAAGAAATGCCATTAGGAGATAACTTTTCAATTGTTTGCTGTTAAAAGGTCATAATAAGAAAATCTATAATGAACAAAGTGCACTGAAATATATACACCTAGAGAAGCTGTTCCATTAATGCATTATTCATCTCTGACTCATTAATAAATCTCTGACTGTGGAACTGCAGAAGCAGTGAGTCTTGACACAGCTAATTTTGGATTTTTGTGTAAGACATATTAATATATCTATTTTAATTCCCTGATTGATAGCTTTAAGATTTTACTTGGAAATGTGATCAATAACTTCTGTAATCTGTAGTTGTCTTCTGACGACTTAATTGTCTAGACTGTGAGTGGTAGAATGATTACAGCAAAGCACTGGGACCAGCATGCTTAGGCTCTGTCGGTGTGAAGATAAATAAATAAATGCAGTTACAAGTGTTACCTCCTTCAATCCACTCAAAAGGACATATGTAACTTAGATATGACATGAAAAAATTGGTCTTATCTACAAAAATAGTGACTGTTTTTCAGTGGTAGAAATACTATACTTTAAAGTTTTTTCTGAGTTTGTTGTCTTAGTTCTAGTTAAGGTAACCCTATCTTGTCATCAAAGAAATCATAAGAAAGGTACAGGCAAAAAAATCATAGAAGAGAGGCATGAAAATGAGTTTGTTTTTTCAGAAGGAAAAATATCCGTAGTTACACTTACCCAGGACGGAAATCGATGTAACGGTGGGGTTGGAGGTTTGTTGCTAGCACCTTTTTTTGTTGTGTCACAAGATCCCTGGACTTCAGCATTTTGTGCTTCAGTGCAATCGTAGGTAAACACTCCTTCATCACAGCCAATCTCCATTTTCTCTAGAATATCAGTATCTTCCCCATCCACCAGGTCAATATCTGTTTCCTGAGGTCTCCACGGACGTATCATGCTTATGGCGTTTCTATTTCTACCAAACATTTTGTCAGAGCTCAGCTGGGGCTGGCTTAGATGTTTCTTTGCTAATGCTGAATTTATGCTAAACACATTAGGAGTCCGTAACTTTGGAGGTGGCAAATTTGATGGAGAATCCGATGGTGCTGTGCCCTGAGAACCTGCGGAGGTGGCTAGAATTGGGTGTTTGGTTGCCAGAGCGGGGGTTAAAATTGGACTTGGGGTATTTGCCTCACTGGATGAGGATGAATAATCTAGCCTCTGAGACTGAAATTTCTTATTCAGTTCATCTGAAGAACTATCTTGGTCTTTCTTTTTACTTGAGAAGTCGGAGTTGCACTTTCCACCCGCATTGTTCTGGCCTTTTCTTTGGGACCCTTGCTGCCAGGAGTAAAACTTCTTGTGCTGCTGAGTTCTCTGAACACCAAAACTCTCCTCTTCAAATAGAGAACTACTGTCATCAGATGCTGTCAAATACATTTCACTTCCCACTCTACTGTACCTTGCACTCTCTTCGGACGTGTGGCTCGAAAGAGTCGATGCACACCTGGGTTTCAGTCCTTTGTTGTCTCCTCCATCCTCGTCTGAGCTCCAGTCACTCCCGGTAGTGCAGGAGTTCTTTGACATGTCGCTGTCTATATCTTTGGATGAACAGCTTATCCTCACGTTTTTCTTCTGCTCTGACCCAGAGGAACTTTTTTGCAGTGACTTCTGACCATTATTGGTCTCGTGTGCGGGACCAGCAAAGGTAGTTTCCAGGATATCCTTCTCTAGAGGAGAAATGCAATGGATATGAGATAGTACCTTTAGCAAACTTGACTGCTAAAGGATTTTGACATCACGTCTGCAAATAGTAAATAGGTAATAATTTCAGATGTGTAAGCACATTCAAGTGTTTTAAAACTGTAAATAAACCTGAAGAAAAATATTACAAATTTTTGAATGCAGCTGAAGTTGCAGTAATATTTGCTAAAAATCTGTAACAGACATTATTCAAAGTTCTGGCCAAACTAAAAATAGTACGAAATGTAAAGATAGGCAGAGTGGAGCCATATTTTAAAGTAAACCACATATATATAAAAACAAATAAACAAAAAAAATCAACCCCAAAACCCAAAGACTTGAAAGGGCATATATTTATTAAATCTAAGGAAAATTAAAGTTTAATAAAAGCTTCTCAGAAAAGATTTACATTAACACATTATTATGAGCATTTGTAAAGTGTTTATACACAAATTTCTTCTGAAAGCTATTACTGTATTCCCAATGGTGAATGCATAAGGACAAATACACAAGAGAGGCTCTTGAAAACTGCTAAGATCCTGCATTAAAAATAGCTTTGCTTTGCTGTTCTCTTTTACCTGATTCTGCAAGAGCGCTATAACTTGCCGTGTGTCAGTGAGGTCTATGTGCTTGCCCAAGTTAAAACAGATGTAAGAATTAGGGCTTTCCTACACAGGCACTTGGGAAAGTTAATGTTAAATAGCTATAAGAAGTTAAAGTGGACTGGATAAGCCAAAGATTTTAATTTAGTGCACATTAAAGTAATGAGGTCATGGAAGCTGATCTGTTTCCATCTAGGTTCTATTTCTTATTCTTTCCCTTGGAAAAAAAAAAAGATTCTTACTTCAATTCCCTCATCTATATATATGGAAATAATAATGCATACCCACCTTTATAATGAACTTGGTGTAATATAAAAGTACAAAATATTAATAGGCTCTATTTCAGTTTCTGATTTTCTACAGACCTCAAATTGCAATTTTGGGTACGACGATTTAACTGTGGAGAAAATGCTGAGGTCAGAAATAGTGCTGTGAGACTCAAATGAAGGACCAGAGCATCACTCTCCTTCCTGAGCTTTTCATTGCTGAAGGGAAGTAGCAAACTGCAATGGACTTGCTTATGCTCCTAATAACATAACGGCGTGCCAATTTGCTGGCAAACCAGACTTCAGGGCTTGTTGAATTGATTAGAGAGTTTTCTCCTTCTTTGGGTAGGAAACAGTGGTGCGGAAAGATGCCTGAGACTCTCTCCTGCTTTCGTCTGACCTTGATCGTGCTAATGAAAGATTACTGAGTTGATCTTGTCGAGTTAGGGCATAAAATCAGCACTGGGACACCAGTGATGGCATAGTTAAAATACACAGATATGGGACTTAGGTGAGACTCTACACGGGCATAAAACCATACGGGCCCTTCCCTGGGGACCTGGCAGCCTTAAACTCTTTGTGCTGCTGCTGTGGAGCAAATCTGGGCCACAGCAAATTCATTCCTTTGCAGCCAAAGCACCCATCAGCTGCTGTGTGCTGCCAGTGTGTCAGTGGGCTTTCAGAGACACTACTGCTCAACGGGATTCCTTCCTAGTAAGAGAGTAAGACTGAAGAGGGAGAGAGTACTGCTGTGTCTTTTGAGAAGAGCTGGTTTGGATACACTGACATCGTTACTGATTCTAGTTTTCCACCTGTGTCAGAATGAAAAGGCAGTATTGCTGACTGAAGTACCTAGCATGTTCTTGCCTTCAGTGTAGTCCGACTCTTTAGATGAAGACTTGCTTATTTCTTCAAACTTAGGAGACGGTTGAGGACTTCTTGCTCTATTTGAAAAGCATCCAAAAGTCAAACTGCTTAGTCGCTGACAGTCTCCAGGTTTTTGTGCTGAAGTTAAAGATTTCTTGCCCGTAGCTTCTGAAAGAAGAAATCTTGTGTTAATGGGATATGGCAAGCTATGCTACTGATCCTTTTACTCTGCAGTATAAAGTTGGATTATTTTTTTTTAAGATAACTAAAATTTAGCAAAAAGATAATATTCATTAGAGGAATAAAAATCTACCTAATACTTTCTCATATCAGAAGAAACACAGAGCTACCTTCCTGGTTCTTAAAGAGTAATTTTTAGTATAGAAAGAAAAAAATACATTTTTTTAACAATTTCCCAGCAACATGATACAAAACATGCATTTAATACAGTATGAATGTCTAGTGAAATCCCTGATTTTATTCTGCTGTGACTGAAATTAAACCTATGGATTGGTCTAGGATATACAGTATGGAAAACACTGTAGAACAATAATATTAAAATGTGTAGTGGCCTTCAAATAAAAATAGTAAGAGGATCTGGAACAGGTGCTACAGCAAATATGAAGGAGTAGGTTACCAGGCTTATAAGGTATATATGGAGGGCTTCAAGAGAGAATGAAAGCATAAAATTATTAAATGCCTTGGGAATATGAAATCTGTCCTTAGGGACAGCTTTGTGCCAGAAAATGATATGAAACAATGCTCTTTATCTCTGTTTATAAAAAGTACTGTGGCAGATCCAGGAGCAAAAGGACATTATCCATACCTGCAAACTGTTGAAAACAGTACCACATGATCATAATTTATAGTCTGTAACCAGCATGGACATTGCAACTGGTAATAAATTTCTTAATATTTTTGAGCACAGCAGTAAAATGTGTGCTGAAAACCAGCTGACAAATTCTTAGTGTCACAAAAACCCTTTGAATAGATCTCTCTGAAGAGGATGACTGAAGCTGTTATGTACTGAAGTATACGGAATTGCTACTGATCAAAAAATAGCAAGAAGCAAAAAAATCACCTTCCTCATTAACAAAAAGGTGCATCTTACTTTAAAAGCTTCATAGTGTATGTATTTTAAATTTTTTTCTTGTATTATACATAATGCATGTGTATACACACATATATAAACATACTTCTAAATGTCTGTGTATATACATATACGCCTGAGATACATTATGAAGAAATAAGGGCTAGGTAGCAGACTACCATGATTTTCAGATTACAGTAAATTGTCAGGCCAACCAAGTATGGAGACGACTGCGGACACTTTTAGAGAGACTTAAGAAAGCTTGTGAACAGGCAACATGGAGGCGAATAAAATTCAACTTCGCTTAATGTGAAAGAATGCTCTTTGGAGGGGATATTCCTCTTTCCATATTCCCGTTTTATGATTTTAAAATTAAGGTCTCCACTTGGAGAGCAACCTGATGATACTGTGGCTGAATTAAGGTTTTGGTTCACTGTAGTCAAATGTAGCAATTAATCTGATCAGAATTCTGATTCCCAGATGAGCATTTGCTAAAAAAATCAGATGCAGACTGACATTCATCTATTCCTTAACAGTGCTAGGACCATGTATGCTATAAAGAAGTAAAAGCAAAGATCTGACATAAATCCAGTCAAATATTGCTACTTGCAGAATGTCTTAAATATTTAATAGAGATACCTGTTCACCCAACAAAACCCAGTTGTAGTTTGTCTCTGTGTCTTTCTAGTAAATGTTAAATTATTGCTTGCCTACATGTACAGTCACACTGATGTCAATTCATACTAACTGAAATCTTTGTGATTTCCAATACTACTCAATTATGTGGATGCACAAATGAATAGGGAATAGACAGAAGTATACCATATATAAAGAAGCTTTTAAAAGATTTGTACATTTACCTTGCAGTTTAGATCGTACTGTTTTCATCTCTTTGGTTTGCTTTTGGTTGATCAAGCGAAGGTTCTGATTTTCCACCTCTAACTAAAAGGCATATAAATTTATTCTCATCCATCGGTGAAATAATTTTTAAAGTCATTAGATCATTTAGATTTTGTCTGAATTTCTGCTTAACTAAGGATAAAGCTAGTTCAAATGGTAAGCTCCTCTCTGCTACTTCTCTTAATGCCAGTCCAGGCGTTTCTTTACCCTGAACAGTGACATTCCCTGCAGCAATTATTTGCTCAACTTCTGTTAAAATCATTCCCTCAATCAAGCAATCCCAAGACTGCTTTAGAAAGCCTTAAAAATTAAGAAAAAAGAAATCTGCACTGGTATTTTTAATAAAAACAGAGGGGCTAGAATTACATTTTTATTAAATGATTTCAAGAACTCCCCTTGCAGACCAATAGTAAATATTTCATCTAGTTTAAAAATATCCTACTTTAGAAATAATAATTTAATTGTTTTTCAGCTGGAGTGTATATAATTTCCAGAGCAGGATTTTAATTTTTATGGGGGCAGCCCCAAATTCTGTGCACGCAGGAAAGAAAGCACACGGCTGCACACCAAAACTGGCAGCCTCGGGTGGGGCAAAGCTTATCCTCCCACAGCAGAGAAAGCAGGGAGACAACTCGTCTCTTCTGAGAATAAAGCTGGTGCCCCTGAAACTGTTCATGACCGAGAGCACAGTGGGCACTGGAAAAATAAAAATTGCCCAAGTCTTTTTTTTTACTGCCAGGCCCCAGCAGACTTGGTTGGCTTCTGGGCAATTATTCACCCGTAGGCATCCGCTGGAGCAAGTTCAGTGAGCCAGCTGATCTCTCTCAATTACTCCAGAGAGCAGTTCTGGGCCCTTTCTCTGTAAAGAGGACCAAGATACACTAGCTGACCAAATGAGACACCAGAATTTAAGTTACATGGATGCTCTGCCCTTTGTGCTGTTGTTTTCAGTTTCGTTCTTTCAGGGAAATAACTATATAGATCAATGAAACTGGGAAGCTTTTGGTTTTTTTCTAAACTGTGACACAAAGCCTTTTACCAACCAGAAAGCCTAAGGGACATCCAGTCACACCATTATATTTTCTGTATAAATGTTGTAGCAAGAGTTATACCTCATGGAGCTTGACTGTCACCCATTCTTTTATTTTAGCTGCTTTTTCTTCTATGATTTTTGCTTCTTGCAGTCTTATTTGCTTCTGGAAAAAAATGACATAAGCATATTTTTCATTGAGTATTTCATTGAGTCTGCCTAAGTAATATCTTCAGACACAAATCCTAAGATTGTTTTAAGTAATTCAGTCTTCTGGGCAATATATGGTGATTTTAAAAAAAATATGAACAGGCTGCTCTTCCTTTTTCCTCCAGGAAAAATGAAAGGTCTTCAGTGGAGAAAGTGAAGAGGAAGAACATCTCTCCTCTCTTAAAATTTAGATGTTCTTTCAAAGGAAGCCAGAGTATAATTTGCAAGTGAATAAAGCTTACTCTAACGATATACTTCAAGTGGGAGCCTCTTTAATCAAATAACAGAAATAATGCTAAACTATTCTGTCTTCTATCTTAGTTTTTACTTTTCTTTAGGATAATTAAGAATGGAATTGATGTCCATCTTTTGTTACATCATTATTTCTAACCTGTTCTTCAAGTTGTTGCTCCAATTTTTGTATTACGTCATTTTTATCTTGTATCAGGATCTCCAGATCTTGACATCTCTTATACAGCCTGGTTTCTGATTCACTCGTTTGAACATTAGCTGCCTTTAATTTTTCTTCCATGACCTGCACCTATTTGGAAGGTAACACGTAAGACTTTGAGAAATGTAATACTCCAAGTTAAAGGCAGTAACTCAATCACAAAACAGACTGTTAAAATTGCCCCAATGCCTGAGATTAAAGATAACCCTGCAAAGTTCTGAAGCCTCTTTGAGAAGAAATTCCACAGTTCATTATGTCTCCCTACGCATTTAACACCAATAGGACTGGCAAAACATGGATAGACCTTATGAAGAGTTTTGTTAGTATCAGTGGGAGGCTTCTAGGTTTGCAACACAGGAGCTGTTAGAATTGCCAATAAGGGAAGAAGGCAGTTTATCTATGATATATGGGGAGCCATTGTTAGTCTTAATACACAATGCTTTAATAAATATACAATTGCATAGTGTAAAAAAACAAAACAAAAAATGTCTAAAAAGTACTTGGCTTGTAGTCAGGAACATTTTCTAACTCCAAAAAAGTACATGACAATTTTTATTCTTATTTTCATTTTCTACCTGTCTCTCAATAAGGCATGAAGGATTTGTAGAGGGTACTAGAGATAGAGCTACTGCAGGCATTTTAAAAACCTATCTGCCATTTGGAATCAAAAGGCAACTTCAGTTAAATATTTAGCCATGATCTCATTCTTTAGATGATGTAACTTCTAGAAGAACAAGCAACATAGAATAATCCTGTTTAGACACTGTATTGGATAGATTTGTTTTATTTTCTAAAACAGGTCATTGTTTCCTCTCCCTTTTCCTTCTAAGTGCATTATATATCAAAGACTCATAATGCATTTATGAAGTAATCATTACATGTATCGATTTTTGATTCATGCTGTTAGCTTTGACTTTATTGAACTCAACTGGATAGTGAGCAGAGAAAGATGTTATCTCTGGTAAGACAAATGAAGAGATGTAAAAAGAAACTGTCTTCTCCCTTTCGTACAATATGTAAGAAAAATAGCAATTTTCCAAATTTCACTTCATTACAATAACATGCACATAGCTAGTGGAGATATTTTTCACTTTATATATATACACACACATATATACCTGCTGAAAAGCTCTCTCTGCTTGACGATCAGCATCTATCACTTGTTTCTCAAGCTGCTGCATCTGTAGATACATAAAAACATACAGTAACATGTCCATGCCTTCTGCCTATTGCCATTTTACATGATTTATTTTGATGTTCTTTCCAGTGATATGGAACAGAAGGGGCCAGAATGTTTACATTTTGTTAAGAGCTCTCTACTCTGAGTTTGGTGAACAATACAAGTATGACTTCTTTAAAAAGTAAACTGTAGTTTGAAATAACACTGGAAGGTACATAAGGTATTCCAAGATTTAAGGACTCTGTGGTTCTCAGGAAATACCTAGCTAAGACCTCAGTTCATCTGACGAGGACGAAATAGCAAAAAATTAACATGGGATACTTGGTATTCGGTTTCAAAGTTGTTCACAGAAAAGCATATGACAGAAATTATGCAAACGAAAAACATTTACTTCTTCTCCAGTTTACTGCTTCGTTTTAAAATAATGTTTTGTTCTGTCCTGTTTGTACTTGGTATCTGGCATCTTTCTGTTTCTTTTTCACCATCCGTCCCTTTTCTCTCTTCCCAATTATGTTGTCAATCACATGAAACACTTTTGTGTACTTTTAGCGCCTCATCCAGACAAGGACACAGAGTCATAATTTTCTATCAATCAAAAGCTGAAAATGGAGAAAATGAATTTTCACTAACATAAAAAAAGCTGTGACTGACCTTCTAGTACTTACTCATACAGTACAAAACCCCGAAGTCTATATCATAATGCCACAATGCACCATTGACAGAAGAGCAACAAACGTTTCACAATATGTGCAGGGTCCCCAGTGAGTTGTTTTGCATTTGTGTACCAACAGACTGGACAGATGGACAGAGAGATGCACCGCCTTTGTTCTTCGCTTATCGTGTATGTTTAATTTCATATCTATATGACTTCATGTTGAGATTTTGAGGGGGTTTTGTTTTTTTTTGATTTTGAATTCTAAGGTTACTTTCCCTCTGTCTTTTTGGTTTTACATTCAAACAGAAGTTTGGTTTACAAGACTTGCTTTTATACCATTTTTAAGACATTTCTTTTTCAGTGAGTTAAGGATTCGAGATTGAGGTTATTTTTGAATATACGGTCAGCTAACATACCATGGTAGTAAAAGCACTATGCTAAACCAGATAGAAGTGGAGTTATCAATAAGGAACACTGTTAATACTCTATAATACTATGACAGAAAACTCATTTGGACATTTATAACATCAAATTCAGTGTTGATGAGTAGCAAGTTATTCATCAACTTTCACAGTCAACCTGTGAAATTTGTAAATGCACATGATTGCCATGGCAGTAATTGGCAATTTATGTCCCAAATACTCATTTCAGCTGTAAGGTCCTGCCAGAATCCTGGCAAATTTAACAAATGGAAGTAAAGCCTGAAAACCTTGCTTGCCAGGCCCACTCAGATGCCACTGCAGCTCAGCTAGCTCTAACAGCTTAAACCTGAAAACAACTACTCTTTCTAGCAGAATCAAATAATCACTGAACTGCTGTACTAGCATTAAGCAGGAGCGCTGCTCTTCTACACAACAGTTTTGAGTTCTGGATAATACAGTGCACTAAAGACCCAAGTTCCTTCCATGTTTCTGCACTGAAACTGCACACATCGCCTCTTGCCAGAAATACATTGCACAGGACCAGGAAAATAATAATATGTTCATGTAGACTACTGGGACAAAGAATATGATTTCAATAAAGCTGTTGCTAAGATGAATGTAAAGCTAGGAGCCAAAGCTGCCGAGAGAATAATTACCAAGAAAAATAACATTCGGAGATTAAAAATGGAAGGACAGTTTATTTTTGCTTCTTTGAGAGTTAACTATTTCAGAAAGGTATGCTAAGATTATTTGCGTGATCTCACAATAACGATACGTCAGTCAGCTTCCTGGCAACAACTAAATGCGAGGTTTTATTTGGAAAATTTCTAAAAGGTCTTCAATTTATTTTAGGAGGCTCCTGTAAAAAAAGGAAGCAATCTGTAACATGAGCACTTCTTATGCTTAAAATGGCCAGCATTTCAATAATTTGATGCTACGTAACAATTACTAAATAAATTGTCATTTTCCCTTTTAGTTAGAGTTTGTGTAGGTTTTGCTTTTTAGTGTCTATTGTAACAATAATGAAACTTAACAAATATAGAATTTTTCTCTATTTGCATAAATAATCTCTAACAAATCCACTAAATGGTTGTTCCTGAAAAATGAGATTTACATCTATACCCTGAGTACTTTGCTACTTGACAGGCCTGAGACATTAAAGAGGAAAAATGATTGCTTTAGGATACCCTAAAGGTTATCAGACTTGTTAGGCAAAAGACTGGAACTAGTTCCAAGGGAAGGTTTCGCCTCACAAAGAAAACCTAGCCTCAAGTCTTCTTTTAAAGTTGGTAAGAAGTTTCATAACAATGATCACAGCATTACTGGAAGAGAGGAGAGAGAAGGTAAACGTAGGTGTTTGGACTAATAGATAATTGTTTAAATCAAAAGTCACACTTTGAACTCATCAAGAATAAAATGCAGGAGTAAATTCTCTTTACTCAGTGATTATGAAGACAATTTCAGACCATGGAATAGATCGCTTAAGCTTAGGCTACCTAAACTTATGCTCACAATGGAAGTGGCAGGTAACTGTTGCCATATCTGCCTTTGGAGGCAAAGGTCAGTGTGCTTTACAGGCGCAGAAGAAAGAACTCTCACTATGGCCGCAACTTGACTATTGATGACCAACTCTGCCTTTATACAGAAAACAATCTGAAAAATAGAAAAGTCTGTTAAACTGGACCTCTGTCCTCCCAGCTTCTTTCTACATACATCTGCGTAAATCACCAGCATCACTGGAATTAAATGGTATGTATCAGCTGCTAGGCTAGCCATTTCTTCAGTGAACTATGTTCTGTAAAGGATCACTGACGTAAAGGATCACTGACATAAAGTTGGTTTTCCAGGAGAAACAGGGAGGGCCAGCATGTCATTGACAGCATTTGGCATGTGAAGCATATTTAGGCTTAATTTTCTATCACATCTTGAATGAGAGAACTTGAAATAATGCCTCAGTTCAACAAACTGCTTGTAAGTAGTATTCCTGTCACGTGCATCTATGATTGGTGCAGCTCTTTCCAAAAGTCTTTAAGGATTCAGAGGTGTCCTATCATGATCTATAATAGTTTGGGGTTTGTAGTCTTAAATATAAAGTTTTAGGTCCATGAACGAAAAATACACGTGTACAGAAGAACAGACTGCTACTTTGACGTGCCCTTTCTCCTTTTATTTTTAAGTGTAAAAATCCTGTTATAACAGCAGAAAGTGTATTAGTGCATGCTGCATCAATTATCTGAATTATGGAAAACAGTTTCTATTGTTAGAAACAGATTTGTTTTTTAACTTAGTAAGGAAATAACCACTCTACATCTGACACTCATCAAATTGAGCTATTTTTGTTGAAGCAATGAACAGAGAAATGTCACATGTGAATGAGTACTGAATGCATTGAAGAAACATGGCAGAAATTAAGGGGTGTACTGCCTTGGGGGCCTGGACATTGAAGCACAAAGCAGAGACACTGGAAATTATTTTACAGTACCGAAGTAAATCATATAGTGATTCTTTTCCAAAGGTCAGCTGGAAGTTTCTTGGCTGTATTCAGAAATGTTCAACGTGTATTCCTGGGCAAGTGAAAAACTTTTGTTTTATTAAAACATTTATTGCACGAGATCATCAAAAGGTGTAAACTGAAAAGTCATCATTCATACATTTAAAAAATATTCCTTTTGTATGCATATTTGCATATGTATACTTTCATTTATATATAAAGATAATTGTTCCTGTAATGTGCATTAGAGAGAAATCACTGAATTGATAATTTTCCTTATATTTTAAATAGCTATTTAGTAATTTTAAAGGAAATACTTTATTTAAAAACTGTTGGAATTCTTTCCTTTTTGAGATTTGAAAAGGTATGTTCTTTATAGGAACAAAACCCTAAGCTTTCTTTAATTCAAGTAAATTTTCAACTTGCCCTATTTACATTTAAAATTTGCTTTATAATCAGTGCATAATACATTGTCTTCTTATCACATAGACCTTCTGGAAATCTTTCTGAAATAAATACAGGAAAAAATACAGCCATTAATGAATGAAAAGCATCCCTTCTCTTTAAGCCTTTCATACAGTGTTGATAATAGACCACAGTTTTCAAAAATAAAAAAGAGTTAAAACCTAATGGTTTTGAAGAAGAAATACAGTCTGTCTATTGATTAAGTGTAGAACTTCCAGTGACTTGAGAATGGTATTTTTGAGTCTGCTTTTTCGCCTTGCATTTCCATTTTTCGATTTCTTCCTTACCTGAAAAAAGGCCCAAATCAGCTGGTGGAAAAATAATGTTCCACATACAAGTAATACATCTGTCCATTTTTAGATTTAGTGAAATATCAGTTCTTGCACCACATAGGACTTACCAAAACAGAAGGAGCATAGGTATATGGTTGCTTCTATAAATAAACAGATAGAGAAGCGAGTGAGGGATAAACACACCTACAACTGTCTCACAAAGGTGCAAGCAGATATATACAGGTGATGAATAAACATAGGCTGGAAATTAGAAGACGCTCATTTTCCACATTGATGAAAAGAGATTTTGGAACTGCCTTCTAATAGAAGCTAAAAGGCAAAAGATCTAACTTTTTCTGTGGTGCTTGGTAAGTAAAATTTTATTTATGCTTGTATTTATATTTATACTTAGCTTAAAGAATATGCCTGACAGCTATTCCAAAGTGCTGCATATGACCCAGATTTCCCCTTTTGGTTCTATATTCCTATGTTTAAACCCAAATATTGCAATAAATTTCTGCACTTCCTTAAGAAAAGAGCTAGCACTGCTTAAAAGCAAGTAATCTGTCAGTGGTTTTGACTACCAGCTTTATGTTTTAACATATGCTACGTTTGAAATACACATGTATAAAGCCTTGCATACATTTGGTAGTTAAAAGCAATGGTAAAACTGTTTTAGAAGTGTGACTTTTTTTT